TCGCGATGTTGGCGATACTAGGCGATACTTGGCGATACTTGGCGATAAAAAAGTAAGAGCCACATACACTGAAAAATACAGTGCCCGAAAAATTTCCTTTTGGTTGCACGTACTTTTAGCTTACTGGGAGAAAAGGGAGGGCGTCTCTCTCTGGTTGCAAGCGTCCGACTTTCCCGCCTCGGGCCGCTTTCGCACGTCAGCGATGGCCGAGGGCGCCATCGATGGCGAGGCAAAGGCATACGAGATGTCCTCGGCCCACTCGACCCACTTTGCCTTCTCCCGCTACTACAACCTGCCCCCGGAGCCCTCCCAACAGCCCACCGCCCCTGCTGCGGGTTCCGAGGCCTCCACCGTTGACGCCGAGGCCTCCGCCGTTGACGCCCCTGCGGTAGAGGCCGCCCTCGGCCCTCCGCGGGCGCGTCGCCTGTCCGACTGCGACAGCGATGGCATTCCGGACGCACTGGAGGCAGGGCACGTCTCGGACAGCGACGCCGACAGCGACGGGTCGGCTGACGCGATCGACACAGACTCAGACAATGACGGCCTCCCCGACGCCGAGGAAGGCACGACCGACTCGGACGGAGACGGCATCCGCGACCACCTTGACCCCGACTCGGACGGCGACGGGTCGCCCCCGATGCGGAAGAGGGCAATGGCGACGCCGACGTCGACGGCATCCCCGACGCCAAGGAGTCCAGCACCAACGACACAGACAGCGACGGCAAACCCGACAGTGAAGACCCCGACAGCGACGGGGACGGCATCGCCGACGCTGAAGAAGACACAGGCGACCCCGACTCGGACGGTGACAACAGGACGGACGCCGAGGAGGGGACGGCCGACACGAACAGCGATGGCCGACCCAACTTTCTGCACATTCCCACGCCTGGCGCTGCGCCCACGCCTGCGCCGAGCCGCCGACGCCTGCGCCCACCACGGTTGTCAGTTGCGGCGGCCACACCGCAGACACGTGTGCCGAGTGCGGCCCAGAAAACTGGTGCAACGGCGAGTGTATTGGGACAGCAGTGCATGGCCCCACCATTCGATTGCTTGCATAAGTAGGATCGATCCGCCCCTGGCGGGGCACCTTCCTTCCGCGCTCAAGGTGGCGCGTGCCGTGGGCGGCGGCGTGCCCCGTCCTTCCATCCCTCCGTCAGTCGTTTGTTTTATTTATTTTTAGAGCCATCGCGACTTCTAGTTTTCTTTCTTTACTTTTTATCATTCGTGCTCAAGAAACATGCTACACGAAGTCGAATGTGGTGTGTTCAGGGATTGAGATGAAGAGCCTTAAACGCCGCTCCCCGTCTCCCTTAGAGTCACGGTTGTAACCGATCGCCGCCTGGTCCCGTGCCGAGGAGGGTGAGCAGGGCGGTGGCGGCATCGGCGGCGTCGGAGCTCCCGCTCGGCTCGCTGGGAGCCTGCGATAAGGCGGCACCCCGCACAGGCGCGCTGCTGCGACTGCCGGTGGCAAGCGGCTCGCGTTGTATGGCACGCCAGCTGGTGCTGTCCACGGCACCAGCAACCGACGCCATCCCTTCGAGCTCCCCGATGACGCCATCTGGCATGCTCGAACTCGGCTCCGAGCTCGACGCGCGCAGGAGCGGCGGCGGCTCCTGCGGCGGCGGCAGCGGAGGCGGCGGCAGGGGAGGTGTCGGCAGGAGAGGCGGCGGCGGCAGCCCGATGTGAGGGCCGGATGCCACGAGCTGCGCCGGCAACGGCTGCAGCGTGCGGCTAACGCGAAATGCCATCAAGCTGCCCGGCGCACATAAGATCGGGGACAGGCCGGGTAGAACGTTGGCGGTCTCGTCTCTGAGGATCACGAGCCGAGGCCCAACACAGCCTTGAGTTTGATTGATCAATCGGTGAGCCGGCCATTGGCGGCCAGTAGTGTGAGGCTCGTTGTAGACGCCGCCGCCGTGCGTGTTGTAAGGCACACTCCCTCCCCGGTCGACGGTCCGAACGCGGGAGGCGGGGATGAGAAGGCCGTCTCGTTGGCAAGTCGAGCAAAAGCGCTGGCGAAACGCGGCTGAGGTGGGCTCGGCCGGCGCGTGCAAGCCGCCGGCGAGCAGCTGACCCCAGCACGTCTTAAAGACCTTCTGGCGTTTGTCTGCGCTGGACGTCATGCGTTGGGGCTCTGTTGTGGCCTGTGCCTGTGCATCGCTCATCGCTTCGCGAGGGTTTAGTTTTGAGACCAACGCTACCCGGGTACGGTACGTTGGTCTCAAAAGCCGCCGCTCGTTATTCTTTTGTTGAGACCAGCTACAAACGCGCGAAGGTAGTCTAGTCGGCGGAGCGAGAACAATTTTCAGTGTATGTGGCTCTTACGAACATACCCCCCCTCCCCCATCCCGCCAAACCCGCGCGCACCCCCACCGTCGCTGTACGTGACGTCGTGCTCCGCAGCCGCGCAGGGTCTGTCGCTCTCTCTCTGCCGTGCTCGCGCGGCGGTCCCGCCGGGCCCCGCGCCCTTGCCGCCCGGCCGGGGCTGGAGAGGCTCACCAGCCCAGCTCGATGCCGCGCTCTTCGCACACGGCCTTCAGCTCAGGCTGCTCCTCGTTGCTATAAACGACTGCAACGACGAGCTTCTGCACGCGAGGGAGGTGCGATGAGCATTGGGCGGGGGAGGGGCGTGTGGCGAGGGGGGCGTCTCGCGCCTTCAGGCTCGGGGCGGCACCCTCCTTGAGGGCGGCGGCCAGCGCCTTGCAGCCCTCGTCGCCAATCTTGTTGTTGTAGAGATTGAGCGTCTCGAGCCGCGGCGCTGCCCCCTCCTTGCCGAGGGCGGCGGCCAGCGCCTTGCAGCCCTCGTCGCCAATCTTGTTGCCGCAGAGCTCAAGCTTCTCGAGCCGCGGCGCTGCCCTCTCCTTGCCGAGGGCGGCGGCCAGCGCCTTGCATCCCTCGTCGCCAATCTGGTTGCCGATGAGATAGAGCGTCTCGAGCCGCGGCGCTGCCCCCTCCTTGCCGAGGGCGGCGGCCAGCGCCTTGCAGCCCTCGTCGCCGATCTTGTTGTCGTAGAGATCGAGCTTCTCGAGCCGCGGCGCTGCCCCGCTCGCGAGGACCTCCGCCAGCTGCGCCGCCTCCGCGCCGCCCCAGCCGAGGCCGCGGTAGTTCAGCTTGGTCGCCTTGCCAAACTGCTCCTCGAAGGCGGCCTCGTACAGCCGCTTCACGAGCGGCTTGTCGTCCTTGCCGTTGGTGAAGCTCTTCGTCTCCAGCTCCGCCGCGAACACAGACGGCAGCAGTGGAGGGCGCCGGCCGCCGTCCTCGGTGCAGTCCTCGGTAAAGTTGCGTAAGCCGTACCACACGCCGTCGCGCATCTTGCCGAGGTCGAGCGAGAGGTCGCCGGCCTTTGTCAGGCTCGCCCAGCTGGCCTCTGTGAAGCACCAGCCGCGGTCAAAGTACTTGGCCACGTTGGTGCCCTCGGCCTGGTCCTCCGCCTTGTGGCCGTCCGGGAAGGAGGTCAGCCGCAGCACGCGTGTGTGCGGGTGGGAGTAGAGTGTGCCGAGGCAGCCCAGCCCCTGCTTGAAGAGCGCGTTCTGCTCCTCGGTGCGGAAGCGCTTGAAGAGCCCAAGAAAGTTGCCACTTGGGTTGGGGTGCTGGTGCAGCGAGCCGAAGTCCCAAAAGGCGCCGAGCCGCGTGATTCTGCCGCCATTACAATTGAGCAGTGCCTTGAGCGCCCTTGCGACGCGGGCGAGGTTGGCTCCGCGCGGGTCGGGGTGGTCCTTGGTCAGCCACGGGTAGGAGAGCGCGGCGACGGGAAGGAAGGAATCAGTTCGCGTCGCCTCGACGAGGTCGGCGAGGGAGAGGAAGGCCTCCTTGGGCAGCGCCTGGCGGTGGCTGAGGACGCCTCCCGCCTCGGCGTGGCTGATGATCCACTGCGCGTCGAGGAGGGCGACGGCGCCGCTCGCGAGGACCGGCTCCAGGTCGCCGCCGCCGAGCTTGCGCCACAGCTCCAGCTTCTCCTCGTAGGTCAGACCCGGCTTGCTGGTGCCACAGCTCATTGCGAATTTGGCTGCGTCACGCCGTGGCGCTCAACAGCGGCTGGAGCTCAACAGCGGCAAGGCGAGCGGCAAGGCGAAGGGCGTGTCAAGATTTCGCGATCGAGTTTCGTCGGATTTAGTTCTGGGGGGTGGGGGGTGCTCCCGTTTTAGAATTCTTCCTTCGCCTGCTGAGTCATGCCTTGCGTATTTCTTTTTTCGGAAATGCGAGGGAGTTTTGTTCGAAAATGGGCAAAAACGGGGTGATTTTGGTCATCTGTCAAAATATCTGAAGATCTGACCGGGGGATTCTCCCCAAACCTTGCTCAGCTGATCCAGCCTGGGGGGAAGGCCAGCCCTGGGCAAAGAAACCAGTACCTCATCAGGCTTCCCTGAGCGTCACAGCTCGGTGATCGCGCCGGCCGGACACCGCCGGACACCACTGTAACGTCCGTTCCTCGCGAGAGTCGCCCTCGAGCCGCGTCCCGTCGGCACTACCCTCTAGTGCGCGTCGCCTTGGTTGGCGACACCCACTCGTCGAGGGCAGTCCGGCCGACGGGAGCCTGTCGCGCGCCGGCGACGAGCGCGGCGTGAACCGGCGTGTGTTTGTGTGTACGAAGCGCCGCGTCGACGAGTCGAGGTTAGTAGGCGCCCCTCGCGAGCCTCGCAAGACATGCCACACGCCCCCTCGCAAGCGAGGTTGGTAGGCGCCCCTCGCAACACTCGCGAGACATGCCACACCGCCCCCTCGCCTGTACTCCACCAATGTCAAGGTGAAGAGATCTTATCGTCCTAGCGGGTAACATCGAAGGCTAGCTCAAAACTAAAAAAGAATTTTACAACAAAACTCCCTCGCACAACACTGGGCACGGGACTGGCGCGCACTGGCACTAACACAGGTACACCACGGGAAAAAGAAAAAGAGAACCTTCGTGGAAAGCGAATGGCACCAGCCACTGACACCCATGCATCGATCTGCCACGCTCGTGCAACGCCGCTCTCTGGCCAGCCTCCCGCTCACGTGGCTGCCGCAGACCAAGAAGGTGGGCATCGTCGGCGGTGGGCCGCTCGGCGAGGCGCTCGCGTTTCAGTGCGCTCTAGCCTTCTGTCCCCGGCTACAAAGAATTTGACAAGAAAACTCGTTTTGGCTCATCACTGGGCACGGGACTGGCGCGCACTGGTAAAGAATTTTAGAACTCGACTTTCCCGCGTCTGCCCCTCCTTGAATTGTCTTTATTCTTTCCTTTTTAGAGCCATCGCGACTTCTTCCTCATCAAGGAACTCATTCATGGTCGAGGACTCGAGGACGATCAGCTCGTGAACAACGTGGACTGACTGAGCCGCATCAGAGCTCGAGCGCCCTAGGTTTGTGCGAGAGGGTCCTCGTAAAATTCTTTTCCCGCGAAATAAGGTGCGCTGGGCTACGCGGAATGTCAGGCTCCACTGTTGAGCGAACAGCCAGGATCGTCCGCACGAAAACTGAAGCTGCCGCCGAAGCTGCGCGAACTCGCGGCTCGCGTCTCGTGCGTACCGTGACGGAGGACTCTATCGCGTTGGAGGCGTCCCGGCAGGCGGAGGCGGAGGTGCTGCAGCTGCACGCCAGCACCGAGGTTGCCACTCCCGCCGCCGCCGCCGCCGACCACCGCTTTCGAGCTCGCTGCTCTCTCTCTCTCTCGCCAACAGCCAGCCACGCCTCCACCTCGCCTGCGCCACCGCTTCCGCCACTCGCCACCGCCGACGCCGCTCGCCACCGTCACCGCCACTCCCTCCCTGCCGCCGCCCTCAGGAGTCGGTCAAGGTGGCCTACCGGTCTACGGGGCTCGGCATCTACGCCGTGGTGATGCGCTTCGCCGGTATGCCTCTCGAGCGGCTCGCGATGGTGCTCAACTCGAGCCAGGTGCCGCGAGCCTTCAATTAATTAGTCATGCGTAATTAGCTAATGGTGCTGGAATGAGCCAGGTGTTATTAATTAGTCATGCGTAAGTAGCTAATTGTTGCTCGACTGAGCCAGGTGTCGGGGCAGGGGCAGCTTTCGCAGGCGGCGAAGATTGTCTTTGCGGACGGCGCGATGGCGCCGTTCCGCACCGTCGGGCGCGCCTCCCTCGTCGCCTGGTTCCTGCAGTACTCGGTGATGGGCTGCGTCTTCCAGGTCCTGGCCGCGCCCCCGGGTTAGCGATGAATGACTTGCTAAAGTGAACCGACGAGGACCCGTCCAGGTCTGCGACCGCGCGCTCTCGCGGCTGCTCGGCGTGCGGTGCATCCCGTACGGCGAGGAGCTCATGCGCCGCCCCGACGAGAGCGCCGCGCCGATGTCGCCTTCCGAGCAGGCTCGCGCGGCTGGCAAGGTGGTGCCGCCTCTCTGCCTCTCTGCCTCTCTGCCTCTGCCTGCCTCTCTCCCTCCCCACCTCCCTCCCTCTCTCTCCGCTGCTGTCGGGCTGAGATCACCCGAGACCACCCGAGATTGCCCGAGGTTAGGTGGTGCTGGCGCCGCTGCTGTCGGGGTGCATCGAGTCGAGCGTCTCGAACCGCGCCGAGGCGCAACGCTTCTACGGCATCGACAAGCTCGCCGCCGTCGAGGCCAAGCTCGGTGCGAACCCCGTGGCGCGCGCGCTCGGCCCCGGCTTCGCCGCAAACGCGTCGCGCAACTTCATCATGGCCTCCTCCTTCGCGGTGACGCCGGTGCTCTACCAGCGTTCATTAATGATGAGCCAATTGTTATTAGGCCTCGTCCTCCTTCGTGGTGACGCCGGTGCTCTACCAGCGCCTCTACCCGCAGGAGAAGAAGGACGCGCAGTCGCTCTTCTGGTTCGGGCTCGGCGTCAACATCTTCGCTGGAAACGCGATCGCAATCACGCAGCAGGCACTCTGGGGCCGCGCGCTCGACTACGCGGCGGCGGGCGGCGGGCGGCCGATCAGCTACGCCGCGGTGGTGCGCGAGGGGCTTGCTGCTGAGGGGAGCGCGGCCTTCATCACGCCCACCAAGTGGGTGGCGCGGGTGCTGATGAACGCGCCGGTGCAGGGCACGCTGCCGTGGTTCTACAACGAGGCTTGTCGCGCACCGCAGCGCCCCGGCGGCGGCGGAGTCGCCCCTGCTCTCTTCACACGTGCGCGCTGTGAACAGGTGCTCCCGCTCGGCGAGGGTCGCGTGCTTGGCGCGGCGCGCCAGATCTCGGCGGCGCTCGGCGGTGGGCCGAGGGCGGTGTGAGGGCGCCTGTCGCGCGCGTGCCGTGCTTTGTTATTGCTTATTGTGTGCAAGTGTGCATGGCGTGGAGAGTGAGGGCGCGTGTGGGCTGGGGCGCTGCGTGCGGTACAGTCATCGCGCGCGGGTGGAGATATGTACGTAGTGTTAGGTGCGTATTCGTGCATGACTTGAATTGGAGGATGACGCGCGGCGGTTCCGGTATACGGCTTTATAATGGCATTAATTTAATGGGTCAAGTAACCGACAGACTCCAGATGCTCTCCAAGACTGTTGCGTGTGTGTGTGTGTGTGTGTGTGTGTGTGTGCACGCGCGCGCTCAGGCTCGCTAATACACGAGATCCAACATCACCCCCGAGATTACCCGAGATTACGCGAGGTTGATCGAGATTGCCCGAGATCACTAATAATGTGTGTCTGTGCGTGTATGTGTGTGTGTGTGTGTGTCTGTGTGTGAGTGTGTGCCCGCTCCCGCCCATTATACGCGATCCAATACTACCTGAGATTACCCGAGATTACCCGAGATTACCCGAGATTACTCGATATGTCCCTCTCATGAAGCAATTAATGGAGAGCATGGTTGGGCGTGTGAGCCGCCATCTTGGACCGTGAGGCGAGTATTTGCAACCGCGGGAGCTCGTCGCCGCCTCTACGCCGCCGCCGCCGCCCTCCCGAGGCCAGATAATAGCCCAAGTCGAAGAGTGCGCCCAGCTCTCGGTATCTGGGTGGCAGGCGGGACTAGAGAGGCACGCTGGTGCACGGTTGGGGGCGCGAGCCGCCCCATCTTGGACTGTGAGGCGAGTATTTGCAACCGGGAGCTCGCCGCCGCCCCTACGCCGCCGCCGCCGCCCTCCCGAGGCCAGATAATAGCCCAAGTCGAAGAGTGCGCCCCGCCCTCGGTATCTGGGTGGCAGGCGGGACTAGAGAGGCACGCCAGAGCACGGCCGGGGGCGCGAGCCGCCATCTTGGACTGTGAGGCGAGTGTTTGCAACCGGGAGCTCGCCGCCGCCTCTCTACGCCGCCGCCGCCGCCCTCCCGAGGCCAGATAATAGCCCAAGTCGAAGAGTGCGCCCAGCTCTCGGTATCTGGGTGGCAGGCGGGACTAGAGAGGCACGCTGGTGCACGGTTGGGGGCGCGAGCCGCCATCTTGGACCGCGAGGCGAGTATTTGCAACCGGGAGCTCGCCGCCGCCCCTACGCCGCCGCCCGCCGCCCTCCCGAGGCCAGATAATAGCCCAAGTCGAAGAGTGCGCCCCGGCCTCGACATCTCAGCGGCAGAGGCGACCCAAGCGACGCACCAGAGCACGGCTGGGCGTGTGAGCAGCCGTGTTTGACTGTGAGGCGAATATTTGTCGTCGGCCGTCCCCGTCCTCCCTCTCCCACCTCTCCGGCAGGGTCCAGTTGCACTTGCAAGTGATGGGGAGGGTGCCGAGCATCTTTTGGGTCGAGGAGCACCCCTTTTCACAGTCGTACTCCGACGCATCTGGGACAGTGGACGTGCCTTCAATCACCGCCGACCGGGCTGCCTACGGCGGCGAGGTCGGTGGGCCCGCGGTGGACGTCAGCCTCCCCTCAGTCGAAGAAGAAGAAGCCACCGCCCCGGCGGTGGACTCGTGGACATTAGCGCCCTCCGCGGGCGCCTCGGCATGCCTGCTGCCGGCGTCGAAACGCCCACCATCGACGCAAGCCTCCCGTCGGGGGTCCCAGGAATGATCAGAATGTGGCTCAAATGCTCCATAGAACCTCGAGAACCTCGAGAGAGAGTCAGCCGAAAGGCGGCGGAGAACGAAATCCTGGCCCCCCCCCCGAGATCATGCTTTGCCGGCTTGCCGCACGTCGCTGCGGCGACCTGCGGCTCCGTGGCGCGGTGCACTGCCGCGCCATCTCCAGCATCGCCGACCGCAGCCTCACCAATCTCGCCGACGCTGGTCTCGGTGCACGCGTCCTCTTTGCGACGGACGAGTGGTTTGCGACGGCCGATAACCTGCTGCAGCCTCACGCGCCGCACTTCGACTCGGAGACCTTTTGCACGCAGGGCAAGGTGATGGACGGGTGGGAGTCGCGCCGCCGGCGCCTTCCCGGCCACGACTGGGCGCTGCTCCGCCTCGGCCTCGCCGGCTCCGTCAAGCGGGTCGAGATTGACACGGCGCACTTTACGGGCAACCAGACTCCGGCGGTGCGGGTGCTGGCGGCGTGCATCGACGCGGAGGAGGGCGAGGCGTCGCGCGGCGGCGGCGAGCTGCCCGAGACCGCCTGGCTCGGCCCGCCGCGCGCAGACCTCGGCCAGCGCGGCTCCTGCGCCTCGGCCGACGAGATTGCTCGCGCCCGCGCCGCCGTCGAGGCGAAGGCCGAGTGGTGCGAGCTGGTGCCCGAGTCGCGGCTGCGGGCGGGGTACGTGCGCGGCGCCGCCTCCGGCGTCCCCGACGACGGCGAGGTTGCCGAGGGCAACTCGGTCCACCTATTTGAGGTTGAGACACAGCCGAGATGCAGCCGAGATGCAGCCGAGATACACAGCCAAGAGACATCGCTCGGCTCCCCTCGGCTCAGGTGCCTCCCGAGCTCGCCTCGCGCCGCGTGACCCACCTGCTGGTCGACGCGCTGCCCGACGGCGGGATTGCGCGCATGCGTGCGTGGGGGACCGTGGCGCGCGACTTTGCGACAGAGCTCGACGCCGCCGCCGTCGGCTCGCTCGACCTGCTCTCCGCCCTGAACGGCGCGCGCGCGCTCGGCTGCTCGAACCGGCACTACGGCGAGCCAAGCAACTTGCTGCGGCCTGGCCGCGGGGAGCGGATGGATCACGGGTGGGAGACGGCGCGCAACCCGAACCGGCCTGCGGTGCTGCGCCAGGACCCGTCCTCGGGGCTGGTCGACATGCCGGGCGCGTCGGAGTGGTGCGTGTTCCGACTCGCCGCCGTGGCGGGCGGCATCGAGCGGCTCGAGATCGACACGGCGCACTTTCGCGGAAACTACCCAGAGTCGTGCCTCGTGGAGGTGTGCGACGCGCCGCACGCAGAGGTGCAGGACTTGCTCGAGGGCGCGGGCGAGTGGCGGCCGCTGCTGGACGTGTGAACGGCGTCTCTTCACGCCTCTACTGTGAGCAGGCGCGGTCGAGTGGCGGCCGCTGCTGCCGCGCACGCGCCTCGGGCCCGACGCGATTCACGCGTTTGAGGAGGAGCTCGACTCGTCGGCAGGCCGCGCGACGAGTATCAACGCTAGTACTTAATCCTGAGTAATGAATCACAGGAGCTCGACTCGTCGGCCGGCCGCGCGACGCACGCGCGCGTCTCCATCTTCCCCGACGGCGGCATCATGCGCGTGCGCGCGTTCGGCCGGGCGGTGGCGCCGATGCCGGAGTGATCCCCTCCTCCGCCGCAGTCTCGCAGCGAGTTCTCGCAGCGAGATCGCGGCGCATCTCGAAGGGGGCGCACTCTATCAATCCGGGCGGCCGAGCCGCGGCCGGAGGGCGAGGAGTCAAGCCCCTGCGTTCGCATGCATCGGGAAAGGGGGGGGTGGGGGGGTGTCGGGGAGATGGAGGGGGGCTCCACAGCGTCGAGATTGCGGAGTCTGGAGCGTCTTCACCTGGCCATTTTCAGCGACCGACGTGTTTTGCCCCATCGTTCTTTCTCTGATCTCTCAGTGTACGTTCGTACTTTGAGCTTAATTAATGGGTCCCGGAGTGAGAAAAGGGAGAGGACTTCCTGCGTCCCCGGCGCCCGCGCGCAAGTGCTCTGACTCGCCACCCCGGTCGACGATGCCAAAAAGCGACGACGGCACTCGGCGACGGCGGCACGGCGCGTCTCCGTTCCCCGCTGTTAGCGCCGGCGGGCTGTCAGCCCCTTGTTGGCGCCGACAGCCCCTTGTTAGACTCGGCTGCGCAGGCCGACTCGGCCGCAAAGTCGAAGATTGGCTGCGGGTTACCCGGCTCCGCGAGGCCGAGCACGATGTTGACCTCGCGGAACGCGACCGGCGAGTGGACACCCTCGCGCACGCACGCGTCGACAAAGTCCTCGACGGGTGGCATGCCCATCTCGGCCTCCGACTTGCGGATGAGCAAGCCCTGGTACTCCCAGGTGGTGCCCACGGCCAGCTCCGTGGTCTCTACCTCACCAAACAGCTCCGGCTTGAGGCCGTACATCACGGCGGACGAGTCCCAAAGCCGGTAGAAGGGCTGCGGGGCGGCAAAGGTCGAGTAGCTCACATTGAGCGCGTTGTAGATCATCTTGTTGCACTTTGGCGTGTAGGCCTTGTCGAGCGTCTTCATGAACTCGCCCGGGATAGGGAGCTGATCGGCGAGGTCGAGGGGCGCGAGGTAGATGGGGAAGTCGGTCGTGCGGAAGATGTAATCCACGGCCGGCACATCGCCCCAAACGTTCCACTCGGGGAAGCCTCGCCCGTACTCGCTGTCCGGGTCCTGGCACGGGGCCGGCTCCCCGACGGTCTTGCAGCCCCACTTGTCAAACATCGCCTTGGTCATCTTTGGGAATCCCGCCCAGTGGCGCTCCTCGAGGTTGCCGGCCACGTCGATCGCGCCCGCCATCCAGACCATCTTTGTGACCTTCTTGGCGAGGTAGGGCTTCTTCTCGAAGACCGTCTTTAGGTTGGTGAGGGTTGCGACCTACGCTACCGAGGATGAGATGATAAGCTTGCAGCGCATCGCCTTCCCGCTGGACGAGCAGGCGGCGGAGCAGTACTTTGCCGACGCGCCCCATTGGTGGCTGCTGGTGCGCGGGTTGTCCGAGTCTCGGTCGGCCCGCGTGCGCGGCCACGTGCGTGCGTGTGCATGCGCGCTACCAGGGTCCGCCACGCCACACACCTGCAGCAGGGTGATGCTGTTGTCGGCAGCCGCCTCGAGCGTCTCCTCGAGCCAGGCGTCGCCGCTGCCGATGCACGAGGGCAGGAACTCCGCTGGTGGGATAGATTGCATCACTGGGAGGTTGTGCATCTTCCAACTGTCTCGGCGGTAGTCGATCGGAAAGGGATTGAAGAGCCGCGCCTCGGTCAGCGTGACTGCATTGCCCGTCGGGGCGTCGGAGCCGTAAAAGGCGGAGCGGAACTGCTTGACGAGCTCAAAGGAGGTAGGCGGCACCGAGTCGGCATTGACTACGATGGAGCCAAGCAGGTTGATGTCCCCCTTCGCGTGCGCGTCCATCACGAGCGTCTCGCCCAGAAAGTCGTCAAGCACCGCGTCGTGCACGAAAATGACCTGGGGGACCTCGGGCGGATCGGGCTTGCCGCCAAAGATCATGCCGCGCGCAGCCTCGACGGCGGACGCGGCGGGCTTCATTGCGTCGGACCACTTTTCGCCCGTCTCCCCAAAGTCAAAATTGGGGTCGGTAAAAAAGTCCTGGCTCGTCTCGGCCGCCATCCCAAGCACACTCCCCAGGGACCACTTTTCGTTTGGCGGAGCCCGGTCGGCGCGCAGGGCAGAGCCGAGCGTCCGGTGCGAGGCAAGTGCAAACGCGCCAGCGGTCAGACCGCTGCCGAGGATCGCGCCGAGGAGCATGGGCTTGAGGTTGGAGCGAGACGCGCCGCCATCCTTGCCTTCCGGGTCAATCATGGTCAAGGGAAGCTTGACGGTCGGCAGTGGGCCAGGGATTGGGCGTGGGACGCACGTTTATTAGCACGGGGGCAGCCGACGGTGGAGCGGGATCAGATTCCGATTCTTCCTACTTAATGGGGAAAAGGAGAGGGTGTGTGCTCTCTCTCTCTCTCTCTCAGTGAAAACGAACGGGTCAGTGTATGCCGGCGAGTCAGTGCATGTAGCTCTAACGAACATAAAGAAAGAAAAAAGAACTGAACAGAACCCAAGAGGGGATGGGAGGACGGCACGCCGCCACCACACAGGGATTTTAAGGAGAGGAGTGTGGTGCGCTAGCCGTCGCCGACCCTTGAACCAGAGTTTTTTCACTGGCGCCGCTGTATCGGCAGGCCAAGGGCAGCCCGGGAGATGGTCAGCACTCGCCGCGGCTCTTACGCTCCCTCTCCGCTGCCCACCAAGGCCGGCGCATCGTCAGAGGCTCACGCCGGCACGCTCCGCGCGCCGGGTAAGACCGGCTCAAAGCCGAGCGAGGGCGCGGCCGTGAGCGACGCTCTCTATGCGTTTGGTGCAGTGGTGCACGCATTCGGTGTGGTCATCTTCATCTTCTTCCACCCTCCAAAGGGCGAGGTGCTTTCCAAGGAGCCGGCCAAGCTCCTCGCCGGCGGGGCCGCCGCGGCGATCTCGCTCGCATGGGCGTTCGTGCCGGGTCTGAGGCCGGCCGGCGCCAGCGGCACGGCAGCAGCGGCACTCCGCTGCCTCATCGCCCTTGTTCCGACGGTCGTCGCGCCGGTCGTCCTCAACAGCTCGTTCCACATCTTTGGCTGGAATCCCGCCGCCGTTGCCGCCGCCGCCCTCCTCGCCGACGTCGCTCCGCCGCCGCCGCCACGAGGCCCGCAGACACTTCCCAGACACTTCGCAAACGCTTCCTAGACACCTCTCACTCGTCGACAGCAGCCGGCTGTCCCGCCCGCACCGGGCCTTGCCGTGCCATGCCTGTCTTGGGGTCTCCCGCCCCCGCCCTTCAGGTTGCAGGGGCGGTATGCCCTCACTAGCGTGTGGAGGACGCAGATTTCTGTCTAGGCCTCACGCGGCGCTACCTCCGCTACTGGGCGGGCACAACACTCGGGACCGCGGCGCCGGCGATGACCTGCCCGCTGCTGCTGCTCAAGGTGATCTGGTCCCTCGGCCTGCTCCCCGGCCTGTACAACGCCTCGCCCGAGTATCACAACTACCAGCTCGCTGCCACGCTCGGGGCGCTGATGTGCTGTAGCGCGGCAAACGTGGTGGTCGTCCGGCTGCGCTGGAGGGCTGCCGAGTCGCGCCCTCGCCGCCGCTCGGCGGCGTTGTCGCCCTCCTGGCAGCCTGAGATATGAAGCACGGGGGACGGTGGTCGATAGACGATAGTGAGACGGGGGCATAGAGACTAGTAAGGGACCGATAGAAAGCCGTATTTTCATACCTCCTTGACTACAACCTAGACGCTAGAGCCGTAGCTCCTGAGGCCTGAGCCAGTGCTGCATCTAAAGTTCTACGATCTATCTATATTGTAGTTTGTACGTATAGAGTTAGAGACAGAGACCGCTCACATTGAGAGTGATGAGACCCAAAATCCCAAAATTTAGAAAAAAGGAAGGACGGATGTCGCTCCCCCTTGTAGAGGTTGATTACTCTGGTGCCCAACTTACTCGGACGTGATGGAGCAATCAAACTGGCCGGGACGGTAGACATACCCGAGCGTCGCAGCCATTGACGCACAGGTCGAGCTGGCCGGCCGGTGCAAAGTAGTCTGTGTATGATTGGCCATGCTTATCACCCCCGCCCGCACCGTCCAAGCCGGCGGTGTCGCACTGCACAGCGCGGGCATGGGCTCTCGCCAGCGGCGCACCGCTAATTCGCAGTGGTCGCCGATGGTTGAAGTCGTGTGGTGAGCGTCGGCGTGGTCGGTAATGATTGGCTTGCGGGAGACGTTGATGTCGGCCAACCGCGGCTCCCATGCGGCCAAGTCGCGCAGCACACGGTTCAAGCGGAGGCACAAGTCCTCGTAACGAATCACAAAGACGTCATCGCCAAAGCTCGCGATGACTCTACGGTACGTGTCGAGCGCAAGCGCCCAAGAGGCGGACATGAAGCTGTCTATGCAGGGCTTGTCAAGCGCTCCTTTGCAGCATCGCCTGCACATCGGGAGGCGAGCGCTGCCCCCAACGAAGAAGCGGTCCGCCTGCATCCCGCAGATGCCATGGACCAGCAGAACGAATCTCACCTTCCCGTGTTTGGAGAAGGTCGAATGGAGCTCGCGAGAGAGGTAGATCTCGGGAGGCGAGCTCTCAATAAAAATCTTTGAGCGGTCCCAATGGCTCAGGTAGGTTCTCTCCACCAGATCCGAGTAATTCGAACTCCAGAAGCTGGGCTCCCACCGACCAGCCGGGCGGTGATCGCCTTGCAAAGGCAGCCATGCCTTTGCAGGGAGGGCCGCCATGCCTTCCTTTGACGGACCGAGGACCGCGGAATCGCCAATCGTGCTGACGGACCCGCTGGTCGCGAGGAGAAAGTGCAGGCTGGAGGTGCCCGTGTGAGGGTAGCCAAGGAGAAAGAGGAAGCTGGTGCTTCCAGAAGCAGTCGGAGCTTGCCGTTGTGCTGCGGGCACCGTCGTCGAGTCGACGACGCAAGAGCAGTTGGCGCGGGAATCAGCGCTCTTCGCGGGCGTGGCCGCCGCCTCATCGCGGGGTGCTTTGAATCTGCCATCGTGTGTGGAGAGCATCGACGGTGCGGCCAGAGGGCAGGTCAACCAGGAATCGATAGGAGGCGGTGTGTGTGTCTCTACACTCTTGCTTGTGCCTACTGTGAACGGCAGCGCCCGGGGCTTCGCCCAACACGTGTGTGTGTGTACTCACACACGCCCAACACCACTCGCAACAGCTCTCGCGCGCCGCCGTCAGTGGCGATGCGCAAAACATCAACAACGCTGCTCGCAACATGCGTGTCGCGCACTCATTCATGACCGGTCTCAATGCCCCACCCCCCTGCGCGCGGGCCTTCTAAGCCCGCGGGTAGTCCCCCCCCATCCCCAGGGCCTCCAGGGCTCGCACCTCAACCTCTCACAGGCCAGCGCACAGCGCCATCAGAGGTATTTTCTTCTCAATAACAAGGCTGTGAACACAGTTTATGTGAACAGTGTTCCGGTGTACGTTCTCTCTCTCTCTCTCTCCTGTGTGCGTACCTAACTCGAGATCCTCGAGAGTTGAGTAGCCAATCAGTTCCCCGGTCTGGGTCGGAGCCCGAACCCAAAGCCGATCCCTGTTGCGGGGCCGACGTCTCGGTCTCGCCATTTCGCTCGGCCTGCTGCTCGCAGTTCCCCTACGAACCAGCGTCGGGCCGATTTCGATATCGCCACGGCGTCGCTCTTCCTCCTCGTCGGGGCCGTCGCTGCGGTGGTCGTGCGGCGAGCCCCACCCTCTGCACGCCCCGCTGTGACCATGTCTGCCACAGCTGCCGTTTCCACCCGCGCTGGCCTCGGCTGCGCTTCGGCTGAGGAGGCGGCCTACACTCTCGACGGCGGCTACGCGCTTGAGCCCAACGCGGACGGCACTGGCGGCTGGCTCGCTCACCGCGCGAGCCTTGACTTGCCCAGTTCTGGCGCTGGCGACGACTGGCTCCCTCGCGACATGCTCGAGGCAGCGCGCGACTTTCGTCCCGCGGGTGCCAAGCTGGCGCACGCGCCTCGCGTGCTTGTCTTGTACGGCTCCCTGCGCGAGAGCTCCTTCAGCCGGCGCCAGATACCAGAGAGGCAGACACGGAGTCGGGCCTCTGTCTGGCCCCGGAGAGAGAACCGGGCACTGAGCCTTCTCTCGGAACCTTCTCGGAGCCTTCTAAGCCTCAGTCTGAACCTTCCCTGCAGGCGGCTCGCCCACGAGTGCGCGCGGCTGCTCGAGGCGATGGGCGCCGACGTGCGCGTCTTCAGCCCGCAGGGCCTCCCGGCTCCCAGACGCCGCCAGATCTCCCGCAATCTCCCCAAATATCCCCGCGATCTCCCGTGTAGGCCTCCCGGTGCGCGACCCGTCGCTGGAGGACCACCCAAAGGTCAAGGAGCTGCGCGCGCTGTCGCTCTGGTCGGAGGCGAGAAGAGCCGAGATGACCCGAGGTTGCCCGAGATTGCCACGGTCTGCCGCAGACTGCCTGGCCCAACTCCTAGGCCCAACTCCTAGGCGCACGTGTGGGTCTCGCCCGAGATGCACGGCACCATCACCGGCGTCTTCAAGAACCAGATCGACTGGCTCCCCCTCAACACGGGCAGCCACACGTAGAGGACAGACTCTCCCCACCCCGAGGAGTAGCCCCACCCCGAGTAGCCCCACCCCGAGTACCCCACCCCGAGCAGCACTCGAGAGGACAGAGGCGCTCCCTGTGGTAGCTGTACTTACCTGTCTCACGGTGTAGCTGTACTTATAGCTGTACTCACCTGTCCTCCGCTGCCCGTCAGGAAGCGTGCGGCCGACGCAGGGCCGCACCGCCGCAGTGCTGCAGGCGAGAGGTGGCCGAGAGACCATCGAGCTGCCCAATCATCGCGTGAATCTTCTTCAACCATGTACCTTGTTAACGAGGCATAGCCGAGAGATAGCCGAGAGAGATAGTCGAGGTTGCTGCAGGTGAACGGCGGCTCGCAGTCCTTCAACGCTGTCAACGAGCTGCGCCGGCTCGCGCATTGGACGCCTCATCTGGGGGCATCTCGGGCAATCTCGGGTGATCTCGCGTCATCTCGGCCACAGGCTCGCGCGTTGGATGAGAATGCCCTGCACCACCAACCAGTCTTCGGTGGCAAAGGCGTGGCAGGAATTTGACGAGGCAGGCCGCATGAAGCCGGGCCCGTTCCGTGAGCGGGTGGTGGACGTTATGGAGGAGCACATCAGTGTGCGCGGCTGATGCCTATCCGTTGATCTCCTCATTATGAATCGCGTGTTAGTAGGAGCACATTAAGTTTACGCGGCTGATGCGCGAACGCCGAGCCGACTTCCCCGTCGATCGCGAGATGACCGCGAGATGACCCGAGATCGCCCGAGATTAGGCGCGAGCACGCCGACTTCCTCGTCGATCGGCATCTCGCCTCGGACAGCTGCAGAGGGCACCTGCTGGTGACACGTCCACGACACGCCCATTCCATGGCCTTCGTGTAGGTACTCGGAGCGGAAAGAGATTGCAGACAAGGGCAAGCTGCTCACTCAAGCGGAGAAGGAGGGCGCCGAGCTCATCGAGAGCAAGAAGCCGTGAGGGCGCGCGCGGCGATATGTGTTTTGTGATTTGTGAGCGAGCGTTGGCGTACACTGTCGCCGCCGGCACGAGTGCGGTACTAGCGGGCCGGTACCACCGGCCGGCAGAGTGGCCAGTGCCACGCCGCACGCCACCCAGGTGGCAGAGGTGCAGGAGTGTTCGGGCGGCAGTCTCCCGTCAAGAGAGAGCCAAGATGTGCCAAGTTTACGGCTTTACTGTACTTTACCACAGACTTACTCCAAACACGTCGCTCTCTCCACACTCGGGGTTGTGAGACACTCCACAGTGACGTACGTTGGTACGAACAACGACTAATGACAGCCGACACATCAAGCAGGGCCAATGTACTCCCCAGACGGTCTCGGTATCGCTCCCCGTACGGGGAGCACAGACATCGGGAAAGAGGTGCCTCTTTGCACCGTCGCCGCGATCCGCGAGCGCAGCAGCGCTGGGCGCGGGGGCGCTTACAGGTGCGGTGTAGCATCGCCGGGAGCCGCCGAACAGCAGACCGAACGACGTCAGCCCTCGTACGCTGCTGAGCACACCGGAGCAGCGGGCAGGGGCAGCATCAGGACAGCGGTTGCAGCAGCTGCCGCAGGAGCAGCAGGAGGGGCGACAGGAGCAGCGCCGGCGACCGCAACGTACTGCCTCCTGGCCCGCCTGGCCCGCCCGCGCGCGGGACTCGCCGCCAGACGGCAGGCAACGGCAACCAGGTAGAAGAAAGCCGCCCCCGCGGCGATCGCGGCGGCGCAAGCGAGCGTGACGGCAGGGGCGTGCTCGGAGGTGACGCCGAGCCCGCCGGCCACGAAGCCTCGGAAGACGTCCCAGTCGCGGAGCTCCCCCCGCGGCTCGTCCCACACCGGCTGGTCAGCGCCTACTTAATTAACTAATAGTTAATTCATAGTTAATTAAGGTCGGCTCGTCCGACACCGGCTAGTCAGCGCCGAGGCGGGCGTCGAGGGGAGGCGGCATGCCGCTGTCCAGCGTCCACAGGCCCATCAGGCTGAGGTGCTGGAAGTACTCGACCTACCGGAGCGCATGAGCCGATCAAGTGGCCGTGAGACGCACCCGGAGTGCCGAAAGCGCTCGACCCGCTTTGGCAGAGAGGCGCTCGGCCGCGTGTCGAAGAAGCCGAGGACGGTGGTGTACTCGCCCTCGGCGACGGCAAAGGACGAGCCCGCCGTGCCATTGCAGCGGGGGTAGCCTCGGCGGACGAACCTCGCGCCGGAGACCACCTCGACGGTGGGCTGGTAGGTGCAGGCCGTCGGGCTGGCCGCCGCCACCCTCTCGCCAAACTCCGCGATGCTCCCCGGCAGCGACGCCGGCGGGACGGCGAGCGGCAGCCACGGCTGCGACAGCCGCCAGCCGCCAGAGTTGAGGCCGACGGACTCTGGCCGGCCGGAGAAGATGAAGGCGGTGACGAGGTGCTCGTGCGTGTGCAGGTCGAAGGAGAGGAGCCTCCCTCCCTCGCGGTGCCGCACCGAGTACCAGAGCGCCGACGTGGCGTTCTCCGGCACGTGGAAGGTGAAGTTGAGCGGGCAAGTGCCTGTGGGGGGGCGCATGTCCTGGACGTGTCCCGGACGTGTCCCGCCTCTGCAGAAGGTGAAGTTGAGCGGGCAGGGTGCCGAACAGCGCGCAGAGCCGCATGTCGAAAGGCGACGCCCACACGTACGGAGCGAGATAGCGGAGCGGCGCCTACGCGGAAGGTTGCTAGACCACTCCTGGAAGGGTCGAGCAGGGGGAGCGAGGTGGCGGAGCGGCGCCGGAGGCTGGGCGGCACTCCCCTCGCCCCTCGCTGCCTCCGGCCTCCCCTCCTTGGGAAGGCTCCCAGAAGTTTCGCGGAAGGCCACCTCGGCCGCCGCCGGCTGAGCAGCGGCCGGCGGCGGGCACGCCTGGAAGCTCATCTCCCACCAGAAGCGCGGCGGCACCTACCCTCGCGTGGTCTCGAGACTGGTCTCGAGGTCTCGAGGTCTCGAGGTTGACAGAAGCTCATCTCCGACCAGAGGACTAGTACCAGAGGACTAGTACCAGAGGCAGCGCCTGCAGCGACTCCACCGGAGACTCGACGAGCTCGAGGTCGACGTGGGCAGCCTCGGTGTAGCGCTGCCCGTACCCGGCGGGATAAGAGCGGTTCATGCACGCGACGCCTGGGAGAGGACGGCGCGCAGCGTTCAGGAGAAGAGATGCGGAGGGCTGGGGAGCGGGGTCGTGCGCGCGACGCCTCCGCGCGCGGCGTCGCACTGCCCTCCGTGCCGGTGGTCCGCCCACTGGGGGTGGTAGTGGAAGCGGCGGCCGTGTCGGTCGAGGAGGGGGAAGCCCCACGCCTTGAGGAACGGTCGAGGTCACGAACTAGTAATTATCACTTCATTATGAGCAGCCAGCCTGCGCCTTGACGTCTTGCATGATCGAGGTGTGCGAGAGGACGTGCACATGGTGGACGCCGATCGGAGGCTCCCCGACCAGCTCGCCCGCCTCTGTGACGGGGGAGAGGAGGCTCGCAGCGACGCACTCGCCCGCCGCAACCACATTCTCCATCCCGATCGCGTGCTTGGTGCCTGCGCCGCGCGACGCAAAGGGACCGATCCGCAGCACGCGCCTGCAGGAAGGCTCCGAGAAGAGTCGCGGAAGGCGGCGCCCCGCCACGTAGGGCCCCCACCGAGACGCAGCACGCGCCAGCCGCCCGCGCGCTCGCACCTCCGCTCGTACACCGGCGGCGCAGAGGCGTTGAGCGGCCAGCCCTCTTGCCACGCCAGGTTGTCGGACCACCACTCCCGGTTGGAGCGGTACGCGCCTGGGGGACGTGTCGTGGACGTGTCGTGGACGTGTCGTGGATTTGCCGCCAGCTTGAAGCGGCAGGCGCCGGAGAACAGCGACTCGCGCCAGCCGGCGTCACAACGCCCAGAGGCCGCGTCCAGAGACTGCGGCCGTACCACCGTCATAGCGCTCGAGGCGGCGGCGTGAACGTCGTCCGCGCCAATCCGGACGATGGGCACCTTGCACAGTGAGCGTGTGTTGCCGTCGAGGATCGCGGATGGACGGGGTCACGGTTGTAGAGCTGCTCTATCTGCTTCTACCCGGCGCCGCACCCATGCTGATGGGCATAAAAGAATTTCCCGGCCACCCCACCCCAAAAAGCAAGAAAAATGTATTATCCTAACGGTGTGGGGGCGCGGAGGGCTTGTTGGCGAGCCAAAATGGTGTTTTCCGAGGCGCTGCGCTAGGCTCAGAGCGAGTTCGCGCTGCGCTAGGCTCAGACGGCGAGTTCGCGCTGCGCTAGGCTCACAGATGCGAGTGCGCTGCGATAGAAGAAAAAACAGGGTCGAAACGACAACCGAAGGGAGGACTGTGTAGTGTAATCATGTGTCAAGAATCACGTGCTGCTGCTGCTGCTGCTACTGCTGCTGGCCTGCTGCTGCGCGGCGAGCGCCGTCGCCGAGGCGGGCCTCGGCGGAGAGCGCGATTATGCGGCCTTTTCCGCGACCCGCACAAAGAAGAGGCGCCCTCCGTCAGCCTCGACCTGCCACCGGCTCGCGTCGACCGACCCGGCCGCGTGCCACACCTCCACAGCCCAGTGCGCCAGCCCGCAGAAGTTGCCCTCCTCGATGCCCCATCCCGTGGGCCACGCGGCCAAAGCGGTGCCGAGAGGCGGCGGCGGCGCCGCGGTCGCCTCGAGACGCGCCGCGACGGCGTCAAAGGCGATCCGCCTCGCGCCCGTCGCGGCCGCCTCGGCCAGCAGCGCCTCCCCGGCCAGCCGCGGGAGGTCGCCCTCCGTCTCGAACCAGCACGACGAGCGGCCGTCGGCGCACGCCTCGTCCCACGCCTTGAGCTGGCGGACAAAGGCCGCCAAGCTCT